AAGTCACACCTATTTTGAGGCCGGTCAATAGCAATCTATGTACCATATATTTAGAGAGATGATATGTAAATCATCCTCTAATAACATATAATACAAGTAAGAAAGGGATAATATGAAGAGGGAGGGAAAATATTTGAATAAAGATTTTAATCAAACTATCATTAAAATCATTCATTTATTTTGGTGGAGTTAAACTCAACACCCAAGATCCAATGATGTTAAAGAAATTCATGATCAAAATTCACATGGCCAGAATATATTCAAAAAAATTAATTGTAATTAATAAACAAAAAAAAAAATTTTTAAATTGTTTTTAAAATGAAAATAAAAGGTAAAACAAAAAACTATGTTCAAAGTATCAAAGAAAAATTAAAAGAGACCATAGAAAAGTCATAAGTGATCTCAAACATTTTTATAATTTTTTTGATAATTTTTTAAAACAGAAAAGTAATTTTTAACTAATTACATAAATCACTCAAATAAGTAAAAAAATATCAAAAATAGTAAGAATCAAAATAAAATTCTAGAAAAATTTCAGAAAGTCGGAAATAAAGAAAATGATCTTGATGAAATTTTTTAGAATTTTAAAATGCCAAGAAGTATTTTTAAAACAATTAAAAAAAGGAAAACAATACAAAAAAATTAGGAAAAATATCAAACATTAAAATAAAAATATGAAAAAATATTCTCAAAGTCAGAAATAATTCAAAGTACTTTTAAGAATATTTTTCAGATTTTTTGAGTCATAAATAATTTTTTAATGAATTTTTGAAGTTTAAATCAATTAAAAAATAAAAATCAGAAAATAAAAATAAACCAAAAAGATGTGGACCATTGGATCAATGTCAAAACGTGTTAGTAATCAAATCCAAGGGATCTGGCGCGCTGTCTATATCATGGTCATTATTGAATAAACCACTGGATCAACTATTTAAAACAGATTTAAAAAAATGTGTGGCAAATTCTCATTGGTTGAAGACGCCAGTGTGGTCGTCTTCAACCTCTAGCCAACCTCAAAACCAGGTTCCTCAAACTGTAAAATTAGAGGTTCAGACTAATGTCATTCTCTTCGTTTCATCAATACGAAGAAAATTATACCCTCGCGAAAAATTTATATAAGTTGTAGCTCAGTCGATTTGAAGAAAACCAGAAGAAAAAAGTTGAAAGTTGAAAACAAATGTTGCGACTAGTATCAGAATGATGAGAGCTTCATTGTGGTAATAAATTTTGAAAGAATTGATGAAGGAATCTATCTAGTGAAGTTCAAATTCAGATCTCTGAAACTTGACTTGGCTAGCACAATTTAGGATGCTTTAGGGCTTGGTTCTTCTTCTGTTAGCTTCAGTGAAGTTCAAGGATGAAGAATTGACAAATAAAATGGATTGAGGAAGGCTATAAAACCAAATTCGAAGTTGCAGAAATATGGGTTAAGGAAAGAGTTGGGAAGGGTGATTCTGGATGTCTAAGCTTGAGAAAATGAGTGAGATATAACCCTCTATTTATAGGGAAGCAAATGGGATGCTCAAGTGTGTGGAATGATGAAGTTTGGGGAGAAATCGTGTGAAGTTGCAAGCATGAAAAATGTGACTTTTATTTTTTCTCAAAACTCAACCAAAACATGTGTTTTAAGGTGCTAATCACTTCTGGAAGATTGTTAAACATGATTAGAAGTAAAAACGCGCAGAAATTTAGTGACTAGAAGCTGAATTGTGCATTTCATATTCTGACTTGGAGGAAAAAGTCAGTTTCAAGGTACCAACTTTGAATCAATGGCATTCATAGCTCAAGAGATCTTAGAGCATGAATCTCAAAGCATTTGAAAGATAAGGTTACAATCTTTACAATGTGGAAAGAATGGAATCAAATGGATACTTGAGCTAAAAGTTGTGATGAGTCAAAGTTGAGAAAAAGATGCTGACTTTTTGTACTTAGAAAAATTCTAAGTTTCTCTTCAAAAGTGACATATGATGTTTTGAGTTCAAATAAGGCCTTCCTCAAAAATTGAGCTTTGATAATTGATTCTAGCTTGAAGTGGACTCCTTAAAGGTTATTTTAAAACTTGAATCACTCAAAAATAATAAACATTGAAAAAGTTATGGCCTTGTGAAGTTGGTGAAAATTCATGAGATGACCTATAATCTTTTGCATCCTTAGGGAATCCTCCATCCATTTTCAAGCTTTGCACATAAAAGAAGAGTTAAAGTTCACATCCTTAAGATTATTATGGAGAAAGAATGGGCTCAAGGAGATAAAAATTGACCAAGTTATGATCTTTTGAAGTCACATAAGGGAATTTGTTGGCATATCTAGAGGACTTGTAATCTTTCTTCATCATTAGACATCTTCCACATAAAATCTTCTTGAAACTTTTGAAGTAGTTAGTTGATAACCCTTTAAAGATAAGCATGTCTTTGGAATTACCCAAAAATCTCAAAAGATGAACAAGATATAACCCTTAGAAGTTCAAAACTCTAGCTCTTAGAACAACAAAATGCCTTGGGAACCCCTTTCAATTTTGATAAACTTTCTTGAACAAATACTTTTGCCATGTGAATAGAAGTTGTTGTGGATGATAATAAGAACCTATAGAAACAAAAATCACTTCCAAATATTGAGAATTGAGAGATTTATGCACTTGTGATGAAGAAATCAAGAACTTGTCCAATTAGGTCAAACTTCTTCAATCAACTCTTGCATCTTTTGATTTTCTTTGACAAATTAAGACATGATGAGTCATAGTAGACCTTGTCATGATATCACTTCAAAGTATCTTCAATGATGAAGCTCGAATCTCAATGAAATTTTGTTAAAGAAGGCATGGAAATAAACTCATGACCCTGTAGATCAACCTGATGAAATGTGTTGTGCTGTCATATATAGCATCATCAATTAGAGCAAACATTCATTGTATTTATTAATTAAAAGTTAATCAATACAAAACATATATATATATGATTCAAGGTGCTTGGTGATTTCTCATGAGCAAATCTAGAGATAGGGGGGAAGAACCAAACCCAATTGTGATCTTGATATGATTGAGTTGATATGAGATGATAGAGGAATCTTACGAACAAAAATTGAAGTCCAACACTATTACATATGTAAATATTTTTTTAATGAAATAAAATATTATTTATTACCAACTATGTCAAAAAAAAATTAATTTTTGTCTATTTTAATCATTTTTGAGTGAAAGGAGTAATATTTGTAATTGCACAACAAGAGTATTTTTTATTAAAAGAATCTAATAACAATTTGATCTCTTTCTAAAATGACTTACTAAAAAACTTAAATTACAAATAAAATATTCATAATTAATTTGAAAAAATATAATTAAAATATAATTTAAATGAAAACGGCAAATGATAATAATATTAAAATGATTAAAAAGAAATCGAAACTATTTTAAATTTCAATAGAACCCCTTTTCTTTCTTCAAATTCGTCGAAAGTGCATTTCACTCCATTCGCGTTGTATCACCTCTTCATTTTAACGTATCTACTATATGCAACCTAATCATCATTTTCTTTTTCTTAGTTCTAAATTTCTTCTTATATAAAATTGAAAGAGGAGAAAAATTATTATTAATAATATCCTGAACAGTTGGCAAGATCTATTAAAAAAATTAATGAAAATATATCAATAGTGTAAAATAATTTTATACTTTTAATGAAATTATAATTATTAATTTTTAAAAAAGTTTGATTTTCTTAAATCGTATATAAAATATATTTTTTTAAAGTTGTGATACATTGATGTATAAAATATTTTACACCAAAATATTTAAACTCTTAAAAAAAACTGAATTATCACTTTGAAACTATCCAATTCTAAAAGACATCCACTATTTATATAATCGGATATAGTTAAAATTCTCTTTATTTTCTCTCTTCATTACTATAATTTTAAAAATATTTATAGTGTATAAAAATAAATAACTCTATTAAATATCACATTATTATATTTATACATCCAAAACTTTAATAATATACATAATAAAAGAGGAAGAAAATAGAGAAAATATTGACTTAGTCTGATGGTCTCCCTCAATTCTAGGGCAAAACAAGGGATTTTCCAACTATCCATTATATATTTACAATTATCTTTATAAGAAATTTGAATTTTATTTATGAATAAAATATTAATGATATTACAACTGTTACAAAGGGGTCATAAAACTTTTATTATGAATAAACATTCATGAATTTATTGTACAAAATACAAAGAATATAATATTTAAATGATGATATTATATAAAATAATAATAATATTTAATTTTTTTAAAACTATTTAAATTTTAAAAATAGCTTTATTTACTTAATTTGTATGACACACAAAGTATCAATAAAGTGCTATAAAATTTTGTACACACTTAATAATCATAACCGTTAAATTAAAAAAAAAAAGTATACATACATATGATTTTGATTGTAACTAGTTGACTAAGTATGAAAAAATATACAATAAATTGTGAAATTGACTTTGATCAACCTTTTAATTCTTCTTTTTTTTTTTAAAGATTAATATGAAAATAAATAATAAATATATTGTTGAATATTATATCATGTTATTTAGTGCTCGTTATTATTTAATTAATTTAAAGTGTCAAGAATCAAGAGAAATGAAATATAACTCAATCTTATATAGAAGGAGCACTCTGTATCACAGCCCATAGTTATCAAAATGTGATAAAAGCCACTTTATCATTAATTTTATTTTTACTTTTTCCTTTTGAATTATATTTATATTTTCTATTTTTTATTCATAAATAATTTTTAAGTTTAAATAAAATAATAATAAAAAATCAAATACAAACCAATAAAAAAAAAAGGGATTCATTGTCTTCAAATATATATATATATATATATATATATATATATATATATATATATATATATTCCCCCAATGTGACTATTTTTATTGAGAAATAATTGTAAGAAAATCTTAGAGTGGTTATCTTGAGTGCTTTAGCAGAAAAAAATAATACTTTTATTGTGAAAATGAATTGTGGAAGATTTGACATGACTGTTTTGATTGTGGATCATGATGCTGTTTCTTTGGCTGCAATTGCCAATTTACTCATGGCATGGCAATACAAAGGTATGAGTCTCTTTTTATTTAACCATTGCATAATTGAAGTATCTTTTCTATTTTGATTTTATGGATTTTAACATTTTTCAAACATATGAAAATTAGGTTGAAATTCAAAAGAATATATAAAAAAAATTCTTATTGAAAGAGCGTCTTAATTTTGTGAAGAATACATATAATTTAGTCAAATTTTAACTATGGCATAAAAAATAAGCTCCAATTTTGACAAGAATTGATTCTAAGAAATATTTTATGAAGTTTTATCACAAATTAAAAATGAAAATTTTGAAATTTTTTTACGTTTTCAAAGACAATCTTATTTATTGATCGATCAATATGTATACTTAAGACTATTAAAAAATTAATCAAATTTAAAAATATATTTACGAGTTCAATAAATATATGCGACGATAAAAAATAATTTTATATTATTGTCCAATTGAAATTCATTATTTAATTGTGGCATACTACTAACTTGAAAACATTTGAGTTTTAAAATGATTTTATAATATCCTCTCATAGAAATTTATTAATTAATTGTGTTATATTATTAAATTGAAAACAATGGTGTTGTAAAATAAATTTATACTCTCGACTAATAAAATGTTTATTAATTAATTGTATCATATCACTAACTTGAAAATAAGTGTAATTTAATCGAATATATGATGGTCATTGCTTAATAATATAAAATTATTTTACAAGGTGTATATCTTATTTTCTCTATATTTAATTTTAATATTATACTATTTAATTTTGTAAAAACTAATTATACTTAAAATATATATCTAATGTTGTTTTTGTAAATTTATAATTAGTTTTGTTAGAATTCATTTTATTTTCAACCAACTTATTTATTTTATCTTGAATTTCAGTTCAAACTGCCAATGATGCTCATCAAGCTTTGACAATTCTCCAAGGATCAAAATGCTTATTTGATATCATAATTTCAGAGTTCAATTTATTAGGAATGAGTGGCTATGATTTTCTAAAGCTAATTCAATATGAATTTCATATACCTGTAATAAGTAAGTACCATCCTTTATACATTAAATCAACCTTACAATTTTTTTATTCAATATTTAAAAAGTATAAATATATAATTACATTTAAATAATTGACATTTTTCTCTCTTTTTTTAAATAGTGATGTCTGAAGAAAAGGAAGAAAGCTTAATCTTCAATATTTTAAAAAGTGGAGCAGCACATTTTATTGCAAAACCTTTTTGTGATGAAGACTTCAAAAACATTGAGAAATATGTTATGGAAGCAAAAGAAGAAAAACTATTCTTTGAAAGCCTATTTGTAACAAAAGAAGGTGAAGAACAAAAGAGTAAAAATAAGCAATCCAAGAGAAAGATAAATGATAAAAAACAAGAAGGAGGTTTTCATGTTTCTAAGAAATCAAAGCTTGTTTGGACTCCTGAACTTCATAATCTATTTATGTTTGCAATTAAGCAAATTGGATTGGAAACTACTAGTAAGTAATATTTTGAGTTTTGATACTTTAATATTAAGTTGTTGATATATATATATATATATATATATATATATATATATATATATATATATATATATATATATATATATATATATATATATATATATATATATATATATATATATATATATATATATATATATATATATATATATATATATATATATATATATATATATATATATATTAAGTTTTCACATTTATTTGTGTTTATTTGTTCTTTTATTCAGAGGTTGTCCCAAAGAAAATTCAAAGGATTATGAATGTCCCATACTTGACCAGGGAAAATGTAGCTAGCCACTTACAGGTTTGTCTTTTTAGTTGGATTGATTATATATATTAAAAATAAATGTGAAAAATATTTTTAAAAAATAATTAATTTACATCTATTATTTTCCAAACAAAAAAATATAACATTAATTTTTTTTGTTTCTTCAAATAGATGTAAACGACATAAATAGTGTTTCTTTCTTCTCTTCTTGAAGTTGCATGCATTGTATTTATTTGTACAACAATGATGATGTGAATTATGAGAAAATGATGATGTGAATTATGAGAATTAATTATGATTGATTCGAATAATAGATTCGACCATAAAATTTTAGCAATCAATTGTCCAAATTAATTATTATTGTATTTTATTAATTTAGTTCGATTTTTGCTTAAACAAATTTAAATTTCAATTTAGTTCTAATTTGTCTTAAGCAATGAAAACCCTTAATTTTAATACAATCAATTTTCATAAAAGAAAATATATTTCTAATTTTGTTAATATCTCATTTTTTATATAATGTATGTTAAAAGTTCTAATGCTTTGGTGTATGAACATGTAACCCTAATAGAAATATCGCAAATTTCTGCGTGATGTCAATGAGAAAGGAATTACTGGAGGAATGTCACAAAGAGCTTTAAGGTCTACATTCGCATTAAGTCTTCCTATGCCATTGTTAAGAACTATGCAAGAAAAAAGTAGAAACAAATTTCACACCCCAACTTTTGAATATTCGCAAACATTATCATATCCAATCGAAAATCAAGACAATGATTTTAACCTTTTCAATAGATTTCCATCGCACCAAGTTGATCATTTCCCTTATGTGCAACAAGGGCCAAATCTTCGATATTTGGATCAAATTCGTCTTGAAAACTCAAATTTGGAAAAAAATAGTGGCTCCAACAATAGTATCTATGATCAAAATTTGATCGGAATAAATTCTTTGGATAATTCATTTTATCCGGAAAAAAATCTATTATATGATGGTGGTTTTAGTTCTAGTAGTTTTTCGTCTTATGGAGGTGGACAAGGATGGACGACTTCTCCTACAACTTCTTCTTCAAGAATCTTAACAAGAGACTTGAACTTTAATGATATGAATCTTACTAATAAGGTATACAAAATTCAAAATTCAAAATTCTTGTAACATATGTCTACATGTTTTTTTTATAACAAGTATTTGATTCATCGTTTCTTGCTTCACAAGTCATTCAAAGGTGGTGATGAAATTGAAATCCCTCCTCAAGCTGAAATCACATCATGTGTGATGAATGAGTCACCTATAAATTCGAACAAAAGTTCTAAAAAGGTAAATCTTATTCATTGTCACACTCTCAAATTGAAACTTATTTTATTATAGATTTCAAATTGAAAATCTTCTCTAGGTTAGCTCTTAAGGAATTACTATGATGTTTCTAATGCTTTTATCCTGTGATATCTAGTTGCAAGGGAATAAGGGATTTTCAAATGAGAGATCATGTGATAGATTCACAGGGGACAAAGATTCTAAAGAAGGAGTCACAACTAATGATAAGGTCAGTTATCTTGTTTAAATTAATGTTTATTTAATGAAAATGAATTTAGGAAATATTTCTAATATGAGATTTTAATGTGACCTAATATTAATGCAGGAATTTGATATGGATATTGTTGAAGCCTTGTTTGGTATTATAAAAGACTAGAGAAATTACAGTTTGCAACTCACTTTTCTTGAAGATCTCCTTTATATATAATGCAATTGAGAATAGCATTCTCAAAGTCTAAGGGGTTTCACAAAACTTATAATAACTTTTAACAAGATAAAGACATGTTTGTGAGATGTTTTATGGTTGTTTCGGTGTCATGAGCAAATTAATATAATGAAATCCTATTACTATATGAATATTTTTTCTCTGCTTTTCATTGTTTTAGTTGAAGTATGTCTAACAAATTTAAATTCACTTGTTATTACAAACATAAGAATATGATCATATTTAGGATCAATTTTTGTTGGAATTACACTAAATCTATGGATAATTCTAAATCAATTTTAATGAACAATAATCAATCACATCGATTAAATTTTTTCTTGTTCTTCACTCTTCACTTGAGTGAATCAATCAATCTTGCTGAAACTTGTTGAAAACTTCTTGAAACTCCTGATTTCTTGACTTTTTTCGTCCCGAGTCCCTTGGATATTTCACCTGATCCTGAAATAGTAGCAACAACCAAACGAAGCATAAAACAGAAAATAACTTGAAATAAAACTTACAAAAATATAAAATACGGGAAAACTTACAAAACATGAAATCATTCAAAGAAATGCAAAATACTACACGAAATGATGTATAATACTTGGATTATCATCACGCAAGTAACAAAAACATGATGAAAATGGTGACCGATCACAACCCTAAACTTAGCTCATTGCTTGTTCTCAAGCAATGTTAAGGACAAATAGAATCGGACACCCCAAATTATCAACTTACCACAATACCACAGACATCTTTTGCAACATGCTATTACTTTCCTTCCAAATTCTCCGCTTTCCTGAATCGAGTGTTCCATCTCACCTTAACATCAAGACACTACTTCACCTGTCAACCTATCTTTCACTCTCACCAAGTCTCTCGGGATTAGTGTTTTCACTCATAGTTCAAAATATGCAATATCAACTCAGAAGTTTGAATACATTCTAAATTAATTTCACATACACATAACACACACTTTTTGAGGTCTACAGGTTGTAATGGGGCTTAGGTACATCAAGATAAACAAAGTAAAATGGAAAACAATGGGTTTTGGGCTCAACGTCAATGTTGTCCTTCTCTTCTATGTGCTTCTTTTTGCATGGTTTAACCAATGGGATTTTCAAACACCTTCTTTTCAAGTTTTTGGGTTCTTTAGTTTCACTCAAGTATTTCTTCTGAGCGTTTATTTTCAATTTAATTGAGTTTCTTCTTTTCGGTAAGTGCTTTTCAATCATTTTTTTCTTCAAGACATGAGTGTCTTCAATACTTCTCTTTTTTTCCGCACTTACCTATTTTCTCTAGGTGTTACTACCCCAAACTTGGAGCTTAGCACAGATTCAAGAAAACAACACTGAACTGAGCAAGGTAGGAAGTGTTTGGCCATGGGTTATCATAAGCGGTGATAAACAAAAAAATAGGATACATGCCCAATGGGGTTAACAATGGATAAACATTATAATGGGACAGCTAGAAAGGCTCAGGGATAAAATAGAAACAATGTGCCTCCGTTTGTGTCATAATACGGTTATAATCAACTAGAACGCATGTAAACTCAGAGTGACAGAGACATACCTGACTAGCTCTCGTGATGAATCAATACGTGTTTGGCTTTTTATGTCCTCACCATTTCGGGTAAAGTTAAAATATTCCATAATACCTTCCAGTTTGGTGTAACTTTCCACTCAGCTTGGGATACACAAGTTACCTTTGTCGGTCAACTCTTGATAATTGCATCTGATCACTCACTCGGTGGTATCAACTTCCGGAGGTCGTTCACAACAAGCACAACAAATGACGCGATCTTCTCATCCATTGTCACTAATTTTCATCACCTGTTTGGACAACAATACCATGATCCCGCACTAACTAACTCAACAACAATGCAAAAAGAAAAAGAAATAAAACACTAAACCAAAACAATAAGTAAATGCAATAATTAAATTCCCCTTGTTGTACCCAAAAATTTTTCCTCTGTTTTTCAAGAATTCTCAAGGAATTGATCAGACAAAATCATCTCCGAAGCGTTGGGACTCCAAATTAGGATTTTGACTGAGAGTGACAAATCTTTGATTTTTGATCTAGTACATGACTTATTGGTTCGAAATATGATCTCAAGGATTCAAATACATCATTTTTTACGTAATTTCATATTTCAATTCATCTCCGGAAATCAATGGATTGATAGACGAAATTCGATCAACTGGTGGAAAAAATTCAATTGTACATTAAAAAGTCAAACATTGACTTTTTGACCAAAATTGAGTTTCGAAAATCACATGTCATCAAGGCATCCAAAACATGAAACTTGATCATCAAAAATCAATAAGGTCAAAAAAATAAAACTTGGCAAGACTTGGAAAAAATTTCTAAGCATTTTCCATACATGATTAATTACCTCATGACATCTTCCTTCACTACAATTCAGAATAATTCAAGATGTTCAAGTTATTATAAGACTGCATTTTTTTAAAGTTAGAATTGTTAAGTTACAAATCCTAAAGCCTTGTTTTGTTTGAACTTTTCTCTTTTACTCAAATCCACAAAAACAACCCTGCTAGGCTGTCAAAGTCCGCTCTAAAACCTGCAATGCTGCCATGAAAATATGCATCATATCAGTCTCATGGCTGCACCAAGTTAGTATGTAAAGGGTTGCACCCAAAAAGGCAATGTTACAGCATACCCAAACTGCTCAAAAGCTTATTTGTTTCCTCCCCAAATCTCAGCCAAACTTCATCTATAAAACAAACAGTTCTCACAACATACAAGGGTGGCTTTTATTGAGAGAGAAAAAAGAAAAAACAGCAGTCTTTGTAACATTGTTCATTCAAAAAACACTGCTCTATTTTCATTCACTAAATAGAAAATCCTCAACTCACTATTTCACCTTGAAAACACTCTCATAAACCATCTAAACACACCATATCACATAGAGATTGTTCAAGCACAAGAATAATTTCTGTAGTGCCCTTTATCTTCACTTTCTAAACAAACGACATCATTGTGCAACTTGACCAGGTTGGAGTTATTTCAGCAACTTTCAATACAAATGAAGGTTCAAACAACTTGGAACAACTTCCTGGAGGTTCATTAAGACCCTCACAACTTCTTGAAAAGTATTCAGCCTTAAAACACTAAGTGCGGTCTCAAGGTAAGTCTTCTTGACTTTGCATTTTTCATACATCACTAATGATTTGTTCATGAAGATAAAATGTAGTAACATTGTCCATTTGAGCTAACCATTTGCTTACTATTCATTTTTATCAATCATATACTATAAAATGACCTGTACACACAATAGAATGAGGTTAGAGGCGATTTTTCCTTCTTTTTAAACTGTTTTTACATTTCCTTCATTGTTATTCGATATGGTTGTAATATTTAAGTTTCCACCTCATCCCCATTTGTAAACTGTACCCCCATCCCCCTAATGATGTAATAGCATAGGATTTTAATTTCCGCAATTTACCGCTTTGATATAAATTGTTAGTAATTAGGGTGTGTATAGAAAGATAAAAGCAACTGCTAGAAAACCCTAATCTCAAAGACAAAAATGCATGCAATCAAATACACTTCGCACACGTACACCTCTAGGGTAACCTCACTTGTTGCCTCGGAAAATAGTCATGTCCCTCGAATATGGATGTTTTAGCAAAGACCCCCGATAAAAAAAGATCGTAGTCCCTCGATGTCCCTCGATGTTGCCTTCGGTAAATGATCTAGTCCCTTATGAAAATTGCTAATGCATCTCATAAGTTACCTTCTATGAGTATACGATTGACCCGCGCTTGCCCCTCTACATCCAAAGATAGGGCTTCTTATCAATTAATGGTAAAGTAGCAATATCTAAAGGAGGAGGAAAATAACAAAGACCTTTTGAGTAGGTAGGACGCTCATAGTTGCTTGCTCACAAATTAAAACCATTTCCATACTTACACTTTTAAAACACCTTTAAAAACATTTATCTCTCTGAACTATTTTCAAAACCAACACTTTGTATACATTCTTTTAGAGACAAGAATCATTATAAAGTTTTTCGAAACAAAGGAGTTTTCAAAATACTTTCAAAAAACCACCACAAACACATTTCAAGCAAATAATTTTTCAAAGTGATCTAGCAAGCAACTAAGAGCCCGTAGATAACTACAGATGAAAAGGGTGCTAACACCTTCCCTTTTCATAACCTACCCCCTGAAACAAGAAAATATCTCGAAAGGTCTTTCCTTTTCTTTTCACCCTTTCCTTGATTGGATAAAATAAAAGTCGGTGGCGACTCTTGCTATCCGTAACATTTGTGATAAAACGCAAAACACCCAAGTCAGTTCTCCCACCGTATTACAGAACTGGCGACTCTGCTGGGGAATGTCTTAAAGTCGGGGTTACCTTAGAGGTAGATCAAATTTAATTTATTTCATTGTTTGCTTTGTTTGCTTTACATTTATGGATCCTTGTTTGGGCTTGTATTGATCCTCTACCCGGATCCGGGAACACCATTAGGTAAGTAGCAATAGATCATTAAAATTGTACGGGGTATACCGACATAGTTGAAGCGATGGCTACGTTAGTGTGACACATTTGTTGGTACCGGTAGCCCTTGAGTCTAGTCAAGGAGAATACAAGGCCGCTGTGTGGTGTCATGAAGCACTAACTAACCTTAGAACCTTTAATTGAACAACTTGGCCATTAGGAAGTAGTGAGATAACCGACTTTGGTGTTGTCCGAAGTTGGTTGATACTCGATACTATGCTCATTGAGATCGGACTTTCGAGATATTTCGGTCGCCAATAAAGAGGCTTGTGCTGAAACAATGCCCGATGAAGAAAGATTAGTGATATTGAGATTCCCTAGAACTCGATTACTTTCTAGTACAGGTTGAACTAACTAAACTTTAAGAGGGTACTTACCAATGAACCTCATGCAAGCCTAAACCTAAGGACTCGTTTGCTTTGTGTGTA